CCCACCATAATTAAGATGAAGACAATTTGCCATTTGCTGTCTTTTTTTTTTGCGTAAGTAAAATGAAATTAAGGCAAGTCAAGGCCTCCGCTGAGAACAGAAGGGGTGGTGTTGGGGTGCAGGGGGCGTTTAAAATGAAAAATGAGCTCAACGTCAAAAAAGAATCAACTTGCCATATAATATCGCCCCATAAATGCAGCGCCTGATGATTATTGGCATTACGTGGACGTGCATAAGTACAGCTTGCATTATAATTAATTTATAATTAAATACGCTGCCAATTTCAAGTTGCATGCAGCTGACGGAGCAACCGCAGCAACAACAACAACAACAACAACGACAGCCGCAGCACGCAGAAACAACAACAACAACCGACAACAACAACAACCGACAACAACAACAACGACAACCGTCCGACACACAAATTGCTTTGTAATTTATTTGCAATTAATTTTGAATTAATACAACAAAAAATAATAAAGAAAAAACCACAAATTGTCCGCATGGAATTTGGGTCTTGTCTTGGCTGCGACTTACACTTACACCTCAGACTTGGGGGAAACATTATCCACATAAATACTGAGTTTTTGGGGGCAGCCGAAGAGCCTGTCAAATGTCAGCCATGTGAAAGCGACGGTGAAGGCGTGTCGAATGTGGGACTTAAGCTGAGAACCTGCTGCCGCTGCCGCTGCCGCTGCCGCTGCCGCTGCCGCTGCCATTGCAGTTGCAGCTTCAGCTTGGGAAACTCTTCTTAAATAAGTCGAGGATATTGAAAAAATGTAAAGTTGAGATTAATTAATTTTGCAGCGAGATAACTAAATTAATTGATAAAAGTTGCTCAAGAAACTTGATTTATTAATAGACTAATTCAAAAGTTGTTTGTTATAATAAAAAAAAAGAGCTATTTTTCTTTAATTTAGTTAGTTTCTTTGATCAATGAAATGATGTGATAAATAAATAAACAAATATTTAATATTTAAAATATAAGTATATTAGATAATAAAGCATTTGTATTAAGTTCCAATTATAACGTATAAACGAATATGTTATTTTTGAATATTATTTTTAACTTGACAATTATAAAATAATATTTGACAAATTTATAAAAATTATTTTTAATAATTTTGATTTAATAGTCAACCTAAACTAAAAATCAAAATCATAAAAAATCGTGAAAGTTAGAATAAAAAATGTATAAAATAATGACTATCTTAAGAATGAAAATATATGTATATTTAATATATAATATGTAATAAATAATATATAGTATTATATATAGGAAATAATTTATAATATATACTATTTTATATATAATATTTAGTATATAATTATAATATATAATGCATAATATTTAATATTCAATTTATATTATATTATATCTTAAGACTTCAATTACTTAAATTGCCAATTAACACCTATTTGAGACCTAGTATTCTGTGCTTTTTTGTTGAGCCCAATTTAAAGGTATTTGCAGGTTGATTTCTTTATCGCGCTGTTCAGTCACCTCATTTGCAGTCAATTTTCGCGCTGCTCGGCGGTCATAAAAATTGTTGCAGAAAACATTCTTTTTAATAACCAATTATTGTCTGCTCCTTTTAAACGTTGACGCGTAGAGACTCTTAACTAATTACAAACGATTTACATGCCATGCAGCTAAGGCCAGAGAGTGAGACGGGAGTGAGGAGGGGAGTGAGACGGGAGCGAGGTAGGGAGCACAAGCCCCAGAACTGGGCCCAGAACCAGGCCAGGCCTCCGGTTCGCTTGTGGATAATCCCGCTTTAAATATTTGCAACATTTAAAGTAAATGCAGAAACCGGTTGCCACTCTTAGCTGCCAGTTGTTGTTCTTGTGCTCTTGCCGATCATCATGATGATGACGTTGCAGATGTGAATGCGAAAGCACACTCATACCTACACACACACACACCCACCCAGCAGGGCAGAAGAGGCAGCGCACATGAAATCCGCTTGGCACTCACGTAGCCGCTGCCGTGTCAGACGTGGCAGCCACCGCGCAGCAGAAGGCATCCTCATTGCACATGCGCAACATGTGCGCTGTAAAGCGAGTAAAGGCGTGAGTATGAGTATGAATATGAGTGTGAGTGTGAGTGCGAGTGCGAGTGCGAATACTGCAGCCAGCCTGCGCTTATTCAGCGCAGCTTGTAATTAGCGACTTTAGACTTTAAATTAGAGTACATGTGCGGACTGCGGTGCTTTCACCAGAGCCCGGCCGGGCCAAGCCTCAGGCCGAGCAGGCTCATTAGACGCTGCAGTTGCCAACATGAGTCACCCAGCGGGCTGGCTGCCGCCTTGGCCTCAAATGCAGCATTGAAATTGCAGTCGCGCTGCCAAAGCCGTCAAATTGCGTGGCCAATGGGCTGCCCGACTGCCCCGATCATAATTAGCTGTAATATATTGTGAACTGCACCCAGCTCCGCTTCCCCAGCTGCTGTCAGTGCGCTATTGTGAAGTTGCTTAGCTCGAAATACCCTAACAACAGAGTTGTTCGCCAACGTCTTGAGGCTGTGCAACTCAAGTTGTGGCAAACACTTTCTACTCGTTATAAGACTATTAATAACAATTTAAGTTTATAAATTTAATTGATTAATTAATTAATTTTTTTTTTAGAATATATTTTAAAACTTTTGTTATCCTTGTAAGCGTATGTAAATTTCGGTTTTTCAAAAACGTGGCTTTTCTCACTCTTTTTTTCTGTGGCCTTTAATACGATCTTTATAGCACCTGGATTTTCTTGTTTCCAGTCGCCAATATAAATTTATTTCTTTTTTTTTACGAGTGTGTGAGTGAATGTGTGTGTGTATGTGAGAGTGTGTGTGTGTGTGTGTGTGTGCTGATTATTTTGCGCTTATTATTTGGCTTATGCGATTTTTTTGTTGCTGCTGTCGTTTCTTTTTTGTTTAATTTTCAATAAATGTTGCTGGTTTATTATTGTCGCTCTTGTTGTTGCTGCTGACTCTATTGTGTGTGTGTGTGTTTAGTGTGTGTGTGTGTGTGTTTGGACCAGGCGATTACTCATTTGACTGCATGCACATAAATTTTATGCACTTTTTTGATTGCTTTATTTTTATTAATTGCTTTTTACAACATTTTGTTTGGCTTTTTGAGCATTACAAGTCGCATTTTAGTTGCATGATTTGCTCAAGGGAAAACGGCAGGCGGTATGCAGGGGTCGCTGGCAGGGATAAGAGGGGGCCCAAATCGCCGGAGAGGGTGTCACACTTTGTGTGTGCGTGTCGTGTGAGCTGATTGTGTCATTAGAATGAATGCGGATCGGACAGAGACAAAGCGAGCAAAGCCAAAATGCGGTCAAAGATATCAAATATGCTTCTATTATTTATCGAATATGGAATGGCCAACCCAAAGAACAGTTCAATTATTTTATAATTGCAGTTACTTGTGAATAAATTTGAATACTAATTATGTATATATTTAAATTAAATATGGTTTTTCACTCAATCAGGAAGATTTAGATTTGAACTATTTTAAATATACAATTTTTTATCAAAAGTTTATATAATAAAAAAAGAAAATATGGCTTAACAATTTAAAAATAATGAAAAAATCTAATTAATAATTCAAAAAAAATACAATTCTGATTTGCTTGCTCAAATTTGCTGCACATCATAATTTTATGTGCTTTTATTGCTTATGTAAGCCTGAAGCTACTCGAAACCCTATCCCTTTATTTCGGCCATAATTTTGCCCAATTTTATGAGCAACGACAACAATCGCCTTAGACTTAAAGCTAAACAAAAATAAACTTGAAACTTAAAAAAAAAAAACTGATCCAAACTCGGTTCGGCTATCGACGGATCTGCGTCTTCAATGTTGTTTTCCTATTGGCATTGTTGCTGTTGCTGCTGCTGTTGTTGTTGTTGTTGCTGTTGTTGTTGGTTTCTGCTGATTCGCCAAGCAACTATGCGCCAGCAGGCACAGATCGAGCCCAGGCAAAGCCAATGCGAGCCCAAGCGAACTGAGCCAACGAGGACATGCGAAATTTTTTATTTATTGCTGACAATTGCACAAACTTTTTTGTGATCTCATTTTGTTGGTGTTGTCGTTGCTATTGTTGTTGTTGTTGCTGCTTTTTGTGCTCAGTTTTTATGGTCATTAAAATTGGGACAAATATTTGACCGAGTGTTGCCGCCACTGTTGTATTAAGTTTTCGGCATTTGTTTTTTATTTATTTACTCATTTTGTTGTTGTTGTTTTGTTTTTGCTTTTGCGCACGACATGGCTTCAGCCTGCGGCTGCTTTATAACGTTTTGTAGCGTAAAATGTTTGACGCCAAGTTTGCCCTTGACGCTCGGCCTGAGTTGCAGGAATTGTCGCAGTTGTTGTAGTGGCAACATTTTGCGGCAAGCTCGCCGATTTCATGATTAGCCAGTCGGTGCCGCGACTAATTAATGATCGCCGCGCCGCTTGCATGCTAATTAAATGCAAACCAATTTAAGTATTCAACTAGAGATGCGCGCGTGACCACATTATTTGTCACGCAGAACCAAGCGCAACTATTTTCGTGTCAATGGCAAGAATTTAGAATAGATTTTAGAGGAGTTAAATATAGTTTTCTGCGTGATTCATAATTTTACAATACATTTTCGTCTACTTTCAATAAATTCTTTTTTTTCTATCCCTAATCGCAAAGGCAAACGAATTTCATCAAAGGATTGGATGATAAATGATGGATTGATTTATGGTTATATCGTTAAAGGTACATAAATGGTAACATACTATGCATAAGATTTCAAAAAGGGATTAACTTTTATAAATAATGCAAGAATCAAATTTGGTTATAAAATCCCAAGTTTAATATTCTTCCATATTTTGTTTTAGTATCTTTACAACTATGCTCTTGATCGTTTTTATCCGCCCATCTGATCGAAATAATTGCGCTTCATTTAACCCCCTTAAGCACGACTCACGCAGTTGCTCTGATTAGATAATTCGAATTGGAAATGTTTGCGTTTAGCGACTCACCGACTCGGTTTTGATGTTGAGCGCCAGCACATGCGACGAGCTGTTGGAGGAGACAGATGGCGGCGAAGCGGGCGTGGCCCCGCCACATGGTGACTGCGCCGCAGCGGCCGCTGGTGAGCAGCGGCTGGGCAGCGGGCTGGCCTCGCGCATTGGGCTGGCGAGCGCGACGCCGATGCCGATGCCGATCGTGCCGCTTTGGGAGTAGGGCGAACCGGGCGACTTGTTGGCATTTGTGGAGCAATTGGAGGGCACTACGGCCGCGGTGGTGCAGCTGGTCAAGGTGCTGGCCGACGAGCTGGACGAGCTGGATGAGCATGAGGAGGAGGATGATGATGAGCTGCTGCTGCTGTTGGCATTGCTGTTGTTGTTATTGCTGCTACTGTTATTGTTATTGTTGTTGTTGCTGCCGCTGCTGCTGCTGCATATCAATGCTTGCATTTTGGTATTATTATTGTTGTTGTTGTTGTTATTATTATTGTTGCTGACGGCGCTGTTGTTGTTGTTGACACTAGCACCTGGCATGATGCTGCCATCGCAAAACTCTCGCTTCACAATGTTGCTGGCAGTGTTGTTGCTGCTGCCGTTGTTGTTGCTGTTGCTGCTGCTGCTATTGTTGTTATTGTTGTTGTTGCTGCTGCTGCTGCTGCCGGGCGTCGCTACAATAGCCGCCTCGCAGGGCAGCACCGTACCCAGCATGTTGTCGAGCTTATACTGTGACGTGGTGGATTCAGCGGCGCCGGCAGAGTCCTCGCAGCCCTCGGCCATGTCACTGACCCGCTCGCATTGTGTGCGCCGTCTGCAAGAAAAGTGAGCAAAGAAGTCAAGAGTTGCCTTTAATCAAACAGTTCAGCTTCAAAGGATCATCTTAACAGGTTGTCATCGTGCGGGTGTAAACAGTAAATGAATGGCTTGCATGAGTTCTTTTACGTAAATATGCCAAAATGTAACGCTGTGCAACAGGGGCCTAGGGCTCCCCTAGGCTTTGTCTGCAATTATTCGGCATATTCTTTTTTTTGAGCTTTTTTCTCTTATTAACTTATAGGTTTGATAAGACTAAATTATCTTCTTGTAATTTGTAAACATCTCGACTAATAAGTAAAAACTAATTGATAAAATCAATATGCTATTGCGTGAAATAAATTGGAATTTGCAGTCTTAAAGTATTTGTATAATAAGATTAATAGTTCTACATAAAATCTCTACCTTAAATATGAATATAACCTGTTGCTATATCCTGCTAATACTTATAAACGGCTGCCTGAACCCTCGCCAAACTTTAAACTATCTTTAAATCTTAGATTTCTTGTAATATTTGAAATATCTGGGAACAATAAAAAGAGCTTTCTTCAGCCAGCAGAAGATTAAATATATCCCTGCCGGCACAAAACCTTTACTTCTGACCTGAATTAGCTATGTCATTTTATATCGAAAAGATTTTTAGATACATAGGGAGACTACTGAAACTTATAATTGCTGAGTTTGTTTAAGATATCATGAACATATAAGAACAAATAAAATGAGATATCTTCATTTATTCTGCAGTTCATGTCAACTATATTTCGCAAGTGTATCTCATTTTCGGCACCTCGAGGGTATAAAATTTGTGATATTTCGTACTAGGTATGCAAATGTGTCTAAGGTATGCAGCAATACGGAAGTTAATTGCCATTAAAATGCAGCCGGTTATGCAAACAACCCTATCGACTGGCATTTGGCTAAGTGGTGACTGTACCTGTGCCTTTTGCCTGCTACGGCTCATAATTTAGAATTTACATTTATCGAATATATTTCGTGCACTTAAAACTCATGCCCAAGCGCATTAATTTCATTAATTATCCCTGTTGCCATCCGGTTGACCACAGCAACACAGCAAAAGCAACAAACAAAATAACAAAAGCCAAAAGCAGCGTCAGCGGCAGGGGGTAAGCGGGAAAGGGGGAGGGGGGCCTGTGGTGTGGGAAGCGTCGCACACATGCCGCATAATTTTGCAAATGCAAAACGTTGCCTCGAGACCGAGTCCTGTGCATGTCCTTGCAAGCCACGACGTCCTGCACTGGACAATGACTCTGCCGAAGAAGAGGGGAATTCGCAAAGTAGCTACAGCAGCGCAGTGTGGCTTCCAGCGGGTGGTTAGGGCTGCCCGCCGCCTGTCGTAATCGAAAATTTTACACCTACTCCGCATTATAATTTATATGCCTGGCGGGACGGGGCCCAGACTCTGAAGAGGGAATGAGTCACGTCTGGCAAGAAAGTTTTTGTTATACATATGTACATATGTCTCGAGGTATATAAATGCGAAAGTCTTTTGTGTATATAAGAGATCAGAGTATGTGCGAAACTTTTTTCATAAATCATGGAGGGATGTGCTTAAGACATTAGGCTATGAGGAAATCTTATGAGAAATTCTGTCTAGATGTTTTGAGACAAAACTTAATTGATCAAAATAAAAATACTAATATCTATAATAATTAAAATAAAAGATAATTATAACAAATAATATCTGCATCAATGAAAACAACCCGTAAATGAATTGTATTAGTTACTAAATAAGATTATGAATATGAAAATAATTCATCAGAAATTTAATATAATTTAATATAATATTAAATTAGTCAATAAAATACTTAAAAATAATATCGAAAAATAAAAACTTAGTGAACTAATAAAATAAAATACCTTAAAATCTGTAAAAGGTTATCTTTAGATAATGTTAAAAGCTACTTTCCCTCATACTTGCATCATTTGACAAGATATTAAGAAGATTTCTGCAATAAATTGATCTCTAGTTTAAGCCTTTTATGCTTCAAGGGATAAGCTGCAAATTGACTGAGCCAAGTTAAGGCGCCTAAATGAATGCAACCAGCAAAGTGTGCCCAAATCTTTTGCTCCCATACCTTGACATTTTTGTCCAACTCAGCCGCACGCACACACCCACAAAATGCGTGTTACTCGCACAGAGACGCCTGGTCGAAAATCGAACACTAAATGCGAAAGTCGAGCTACGATTCTGGATGTGTTGTTCCTGTCTTCGGCTTCGGTACACAAAACGGGCGTTGATTTTAATGCATAATGCAAATGGATGTGCATGTGTGTGCCACTGAGTCCGATTGTGTGTGTGTGTGTTTGAGTCTCTGTTGTTTGTTGTTGTTGTTGTTGTTTTTGTTGTTGTTGTTGTCGGCAACTATGCAGGCAACTCGCCTACAACTGTCTGCAGTTGTAATAATGCAAAGCCGCCATGACCAACGCCAGCAACAACAACAACAACAACAACAACAACAACAGCAACAGAAACTGCACTCAGAGAAGGAGTCCGAGTTGGAGCTGGTGTCAGAGTCGGGAGTCCGAGTCACAGACGACGTTGGGCAGCCGGCAGCAGTCAACGAACGCACTTTTCCGGCCACGTCGCCGACGTCGTTGGTCATAATGAGCCACAAGCTAGGGGAGGTAGGCAGGCGACGAGGACGATGCCTTGCAAGTTGTGTGCAGGACATGTAATGCCCGAGTCAGGGCAGCAGACGTTGTATTGTAGATTTTGGACAGGAAGTGGACAGCACCAGGAGCCGAAGCACAGGGCACTCGCATCGGCCAGAGAAGGAGTAATAATTAATTTTGTACATTGCATGCAAATGTCTGGGCCATGGTCGTAGGCAACTGCTGGTCTGGGCTAAGAGCCACCCACCCGGTTCGAGGCATGTGGCATATGCATAAGCAGCAAACAATGCAAAACAAAGCAGCACACGAATGCACAGCAGCAGAAACAACACCAAAATAATTTCTACAGAGAGAGAAAAGGTATGGTAACTACTTAGGAGACATGCTAAGAATATAATTTCATAGGCTCTGTGGATGTCTGAGCTGAGGCTTAATGAGCAATTGTTGCTGCTGCACCTTGGCAACATGTTGTGAAAGTTTGCCGTAAATACGGCAAATTGCAGCGACAAAATATGCCAGCCAAATTAAGTACAATTTGCGCATATTAAAACTCTGTCTAAATTGCACAGGCGAGCAGCAACATGCAGCAAGCAGCTCATGCAGCATGCAACAGCGCTTCCTGCAGCAGCAGCAGCAGCAGCAGCAAATCTAATCAATAACCGACAAACTGGTAGAATTTCATGTAGCACACTAAATAGCACGATTAATTATCGCTATGGCCGGGCAGCTATAATTCAAATCAAGTGCTGGTGTGTGTTTGTTGTTTTTTTTTTTTGTAACCAGCAGCAACATGCAACATCTGCAACATGCGCCGGCCTATCGCATATAACGCATTACAAACCGGTCTAATTATACTCATTTTGTTGCCGCAACGCGCTTGCAACATGTTGCTGCTGTAAAATCTAGCTATAAATTGCAATCTCCATGCAACTTTCTATTGCTAAAAATTTATCATTTGAGACACACTCGACCGGCCAATGTCTTGGCCAGCGTTTTGTCAGGCCAGAGCATTCGAGAGCGGTCCGGAGCGTTAGTTGCTCGCCAATATTCAAATTAATAAAATCATCAATAATTTTGCATAGCTGCAACATGCTGAACATGTTGCTGCCACGGCTGCTGCTGCCACTTGTTGTAATTAATAGTCAAACTAAATTGTAGCACATTCTGCCATCCATTCGGAGGTATCGCTTCAAATGTGGCACAAAGCAATTTCTGATTGGAAAACTGCGTCCGGCTTGAGCCAAACTCCAATTTATGCCGCAGGCTATTAAATTGCCTTTTGATTTGTAATTAGCACAGAATGCACATTAAATGCCAAGCGAATGGCGACTTCTTTAAGCCTGCGTATCTGGCCTTGGGGAGGGAAGGGGGCGGGGCGGGGCGATGCGGCCTCGGTGCAACTTTTTGGCAGCCAAACTTTCCGAGTGTCGGCCTGAAAAATAATCAATAATGCGCCCCATGCCACAGGGTGGCCAGCACAACATTAAGTCATTCAGTTAACATTATTTATGCAACATTTACTTACGCACACACACAGACAATAACACACACACACACACACACCCGAACACACACGTGAGCTAAAAAGTTTTTTGGCTGAGTTGTTGTTGGCCATTGCATTGTTTTAGGGTTGTTGTTGTCGGGGATGTTCATGCACTGGCACGAGTGTGTGTGTGCGTGTACGGGTGTGTGTGTGTGTCTGTACGTCTGCATGCGTGTGTGTGTGAGTAAACGTGCAATTTTCTTAAAAATTACACACGATTACACATGAAATACAACCGTTAAGGTGGAACATTATGTAAAGTAGATAGAATGGTATGAGGGCGTGATGGTATGGGGGAATGACGGTATGAAAGGGTGGGGGGGGGGGGGAGGGGCGATGGTAATGAAAGCACGAGCAGAGCTTGTAGTTTTCCAAATTGAGTCAGCGCCATAAAGTTTGGAGGGTGCACTGCTAAACGGATTACAAAGACTCAAGTGTGCGTTGGCTGAAAGCTATGCGATATAAGTAGATCAAATAGGAGAAACATAATACATATAAAAACGAGAAAGAAGTGCTATCTTCGGCACGCCGAAGATTTAATACCCTTGCAGACCCAACCTTTTCTAAATGCTCATAGTGCTTTGCCCGTATCTAAGAAGCACAGGGAAAATAGTTAATGCCGAGTATGGTTAAGATATCTTGAAACACACAACAATTTTCCATACAAAAACTTAATTTTCGACCGATCTTTCCTATGGCAGCTTTATGATATAGTGGTCCAATCTTAATAGGATTTTGCATATATATGTGGAGCGTAGTAAAACTAATAAATACCGAGTTGAGTCAAGATAAATTTATAAACAAAAATGTTTTCATACAAG